CAAAATATCTCATATAAACAATCAGCCATAGATAGACCCCGGCTCAGGGCTCAAACTACGACGCCGTTCGCATGGCTGTGTCCATCGGAAACATATCCTCAATACTCTACCTCGCGACTCGCACCATCCTCCCCCGACCGAGCTCGGGTCGTGGCCCCCGATCGCCGGGCCAACACAAGGAGCTCCCCTCCGCAAAAGTCGACCGCCGTTGGTGGTGGAGCTTTCGAGTCGTCGGCATGCGGATGAGTCCATGGTGGCTGAGATGGATGCAGGCTGGCTCTACTGAAGGCGGGCTCAGAGAGGGCGATCAAAACAACAAAAAGAAAAAAAAAAAAAAAAAAAAAAAACTGAAGAGAAGAGAACGTGGTGGTCTGTGGTGGTGGCTGGGTCATTATGGCTGACAATCGAAGGCCGCGTGGGTCGTGTCGTGGTGGCTATGACGGTCGTTGGATTGGCCGAACGTGGCCGAATATTTTTTTGGTATATCTTCTGTATATATTCTGTAAATAATGATAACATTGATTTATCTTTTGTATATATGCTGTGTATTTTCTCTTATGTCAACTGTATACAATGAGTATATCTTTTGTATATGTTCTCGAAAAATATATTGTTTTTTCGTATATGTTAAGGTCAACAGTATATTTTTAGTATATGTACATGAATACGATTTTCAACTTGTTTTATATACTGTTAATATACATGATTTTATCTAATTGCGTCAACAATTTGTTGTTTTTTTGTTATTTTGGTATAATAGAATATTATTGCAACATATACTGAATATATACTAACTATAAACGCATTATAGTTTAATATATACATATAATGAATATAAAGTTTAATATACGTTTAATATACACTATTAATATGATGCGATGTTAAAAAATAAACAAAAAACAGTTCGACAAGTAAAAATACATGTGCTTGGCGAAATACGTATCAGTATTGTGGGATTTGTAAGAAAAAGTCGTTTGTAATTTAAATTCATAATCTTTCCTATTTGTATTGAACAAACTCCTAATTAATAGGATATATTGACTTACCATGTGTATATATGCAAGCAGGGGCGGAGCCAGGATTCAAGTATGGGGGGGACAATGAACAAAGTAAAGTAGAACTAATAGCCACATCACATGGTTTCAGTCATATATAATAGTAGCATGTTTCACAAGTCTTAACTAAAACAAAATTACATTTCTATTATCTTAAATTTTGCTCTACGACTACCAGCAAGATCATAGGCTTTAATAAGTTAATCCGTACCAATTGATGCAGCCAATTCTTTCTCAATATAAAGTACCAAACAATCTCGCAAGAATCCATCTCCCATTGCACATCGAAGACGTGTCTTCACAATTTTCATAGCTGAAAAGCATCTTTCGGTGGTTGCAGTTGATACTGGAAGAGTTAATATCAATCTTAACAACCTATCCACCCTAGGATAAGATGCATATTTACCTGTTTTAAATAGTCCACTTGTTAGATCTGCAAGTGTTTGTAAATCCTTTAGTTGTGGATGGTTGCATACATCAATTTGAAAATGTGGCAGCTGACACTCCAATTGAGCTCTTTCTTGACTTGAGAAATCAGCAGGATAATATTTTTCCACAAGAGTGCATATATTGGCTATATTAAATGTCTCCAGCCTAGGATCCAAAGATGCACAAAGGGACAAAAGCTCTGTCACTTGAGAACTAAACCGATCTTCGAACTCTGCTAGTTGTTGATCAATTGCAACATTAAACACATCTACTTTGTAATGGTGAAAGGTTGTGGTGTTGTCATTCTTGTTTCGAGATTTAGTCACATCAACATACTTCTTACTCAAATCTGGAATATCAATCTCGTGCTTTCCACAAAACAGTTTCACCTCATCAAGAAGAGATTCCCAACCATTATTTCGCAACTCACCAAGCAGCACTTTTGTGGTAGAAACAGAATCCACCACATTTAAGATATCAATATTCTTCTTTTGGAGTGTCTGACATAACACATCAGTGATCTTCATAATCTTCTCCATTAGGAGTAGAATAAACACAAAATCAAATGTGACAATAGTTCGTAAGGCACCACTAGCATCTCCCCGAGAATACTTTGAAACTGAACGATCATTAGCAATGTTGCGTAGGACTGAAATTGTGGCACCAAACATTTTCTTCAAGCTCAGAATAGACCTGTAGTGGGAACTCCATCTCGTGTCCCCTGGCCTTTGTAGGGAGGATATCTGATTTGCCCCTCGCCCTGTGTCAAGCTCTTCTAATTCAATTTCACGGGCAATTTGTGCTGCTTGATTTGCTAGCAATTCATCATTGCGCTTAGGAGAAGCACTAACAACATTTATGATGAAATTGGCATGCTGAAAAAAATTGTGTACCTCATGTACCTCCCTTGATGCTGCTACAAGGGCCAACTGAAGTTGATGAGCCATGCAATGAATATAATATGCATACGGGCACTCATTGAGAATTAGAGCTTTCAATCCGTTCCACTCCCCTCGCATGTTACTGGCCCCATCGTAACCTTGTCCTCTTATATCTTGTATACTTAGGACATTAGCTGAGAGGACAGCACAAATAGACTCTTTAAGGGTCAAAGCAGTAGTGTCATTAACATGGATAAGGTCAAGGAAACGCTCCTTTATAAGTCCTTCCCTGTTGACAAATCGGAGGACTATTGCCATTTGCTCTTTTTTGGACTCATCTCGAGCTTCATCAACCATTATGCAAAACTCACTGCTCCCAATTTCTTCTCTAATTGATTTCTGAACTTTTCGAGCATATATGCTTAGAATTTACTTTTGGACATCAGGTGAAGTGTATTTTGCATTTCTGGGAGCATTTTCTAGCACAACATCATTGACATCCTTGTTATACAAAGCCAACAGCTTGATCATTTCAAGAAAATTACCCCTATTTGAGGAACTTAGAGATTCATCATGGCCTTAAAAGGGGCATCCTTGAAATGTCAACCACCTAAGGATAAAGCATATAAACAAGACAAGTTAAAATTAAATACTCAAGCTGCCCAACACATATAACTAGTTGCAAAAATAAAAAAGAGACTTGGAAATTTTTGTTACCTAATGCAATCAATTGTAGCCGCAAGCCTTAGTCTTCCTAATGCAAACATTGCCTTTTTCTTTTGAAGCATCTGATTGTCAATTTGAGCCATTTCGTTTTTAAGATTAACAAAACATTGAACTGAATAATTATGAGCTGAGTCGACATCCCCCATGTGTTTTAGAAAAGAACATTCTTTTCCACGATTAACTTTCTTCCAGTTATGAAATCCATTGACTATGAATGCATATGATCCTGATTTCCCAGTTGGCTTCTTGGAAAATAAAAAACATGGCAGGCAGTAAGCACGATTTGTGTGAGGTGAATATTCTAGCCAAGGAAATTTCTTGAACCAACTGCTCTGAAATCGACGACCATGAGCCAATTCACATGATTCGTACTCTGTCAACTCTAGTTGATATGGGCCCTCTGAAATATAAAATCTTCTAGCTTCATCTTGTTGATCAGTTGGCAGATCCAATATTTGAACACGTTTACCAGGATCTCTCTCAAATCTAGTAGCTACAATTTGTTCACGCTCAGGATTGGCAACCTTAGGCTCCTCTTCCATTGGTTGATTTGGCTCAACGTTAGCACTAGTCTGATTATTAGGATTTTCTACATGATCATCCCCATCAACAGGTGCATCCCCCTTCCACGTTACATTGGCAGCCTCGGCTTCTAATCGATTCGATACAATTAGCAGTTGAACCAAGCGGCTTGAAAAAACTATCAATAGTCTTTCTCTTCTTCATATTATCTAAAATCAGAAATGAGAAATATAGATAAAGATTATCATTTAGATAAGAATTAAGATGACAAGGGAGAAACAAGATACATACACATAATGGGGGGAGTTACATCACCATCTCCCCCTCCAAACAACAAGCCTAACAGCAAACTAAATACATGAGAAAGAAAACAAAGCAACCAAAACAACCCCTGAACTGGCAACCAAACCTCCAAAATGACCCAAAAAAGGCCCTGCCAACATCCAAAATATAAAAGTAGAGAACAAGAAATTCACTTCATTAAATTTTCTCTTTTCCTATTTCATTGTCAATTAGTCATACTACCCATCAAGAAAAAACATCCGCCTTTACTAAGATTCCATAAAAATCACCTAATAAATCATTAATATGTCATTACATCACAATTGATTCACAAAGAACACCAACACAAACAATCTCACTCACACTGTCACACAGTCACACATATCTGATAAAATCAAATACTAATTTTTAATATTTTTTTTTTCTCAAAGTCAATCTTAAGTTCTTAACACAATTATACAAAGCTAGTATTAATACTTAAGTCTAAGTGTCTAACACTTGTCCAATTATTCAAACTAGTGTTTTCCAATTTACAAAAATCCCAAATCAGAGGTAAAAAAAATAAATAAAAAAAAAAATCAGTTCAAAGTGCTGAAATTAGACAGGAGAGAAACAATCAAACAAGCATATAATCAGATTCAAAGCATCAGTTTTAAAGTAAAGAGAACAGAAATTGCACCCCCAACAAACAATACCGATAAAATCAATGTTACTACTAGTATGCATAATGCATATCAGGGAAAAAAAAAAAAAAACNACAAAATTTTTAAATTAAAAATATTTTATTCCATCACTTAATACTTGCGGAATTTATCGTATCTACTTATTTCGAAGAGAAGGTATGAGTTTTTTGTATTCAAAAGAATAATAGTAAAATGTTCTAAATCAGGAAACGAAGAGAAGAATAAAAAAACAGAATACTAATTGACAATAACACAGTTGTTGCATTTTAAACCATTTGCTATAGCAATTGGGACAATCACGTATCATAAAGTAACGCAATTTGAAGTACCCAAAAATCAGACACCCCCACAAACCACTAACCTTAAAAGCAGAGACCACTTCACGTATCTGATTATTTTCGACTAGCAGCCAAATATTTTACACCATATATATTTTAATTTTTTTCTCATAAAGATCCCTTTTTATGCTTTTATCTATTGCACACAGTACATTTATTCTACGCATTAATTTGAATAAATCAACCCATGAATTCCATTAATAAAACTGTATTCACATAAAGCCAAAACGAAAAACTAAAATAATGTGAAAAAAATAAAAAATAAAAAATCCAAGTCACGAAGAAAATGATGAAATCGAATTCAATTGGGCCGTTACTGTTCTCGGCGGTGGCCGCGGTGGGCCTTTCTGGTGTCCACCACCGTGGATTCATGTGAATCGCACACTTGCGTCTTGAATTTGCACCCGAACATAGCCCGCCAACTGCCTCTCTTCACGTGTCCCTTGGCCCCACCAGCCCTGTCTATCTTCTCCAGCGCCTTCTTCATGGTGGTGCACTCCCTCTCCAGCTCTTGCACGCGCGTCTGCATCGTGTCCATGTCCACCCGCAGCACCTCATTCAGCCTCGCCGCCGCCCTCCACGTCGCGTTCCCGCGCGCCGGCCCCACCGCCGCCTCCTCGTCCTCCCCTCCGCCGTCGCTGGACTGTTCCCCGCCGTCACCCGCCCCGTCGGCGGCGAGGAGAGTTCCGGCAATGGCGTGACGGAGCTGGAGCTGCTCGAAAAACAGCACCTGCACCACCGCCCTCAGCGGCAGCCGCTCATTCTGAGCGGCGTGGGTGCACGCCTCCAGCGTCAGCTTCTGGCAATCCAAAACGCCGCAGATTTTCTCTCGCTCCGATTCCGAGATCCATGGATGCGCCTACCCAAATTAAAGCACAAAATCGAACACAAATCTTAATTGAAAACTCATTAATCACGATTTTCTAACAGAATTTAGTAATCGATATTGCTCACTCACCTTGAGATAAACATCGACGGCCCTATAGAGCCCGTCGTCGAACAATCTGGCGTGATCCGGCAGTGCTATCGACAGATCGTAAAACTTTTCCGGCTTCAAGTTGGCATCGGAGGCAATTTCCGACAGGTAGCCGTCGATCAATTTCCCGACGAGCATCAGCCCCGCGGATCTAACTCCGACGCCTTCATCATCCTCGCCCTCCGCTCTAATCGCGGCGGATCTCTCCCCCAATCCTTCGAGAAAAAACCCCAAAATCCTCTCCACGCAGTCCACATCGTACAGCGTCTCGTTCAAATAAGAGTAGCTCGGGATAAGCAGATCGTCCAACGTCGCATGCTCCAGCTGCAAGCCGATCTTCTTCTCCAGCGTCAGCCGGCAACCATCTGAAGCATTCAGAATGTACGCCGTCCGGAGCAGCCCGAAGAGCAGCCGCGTGATGTTCTGGGACGACGGCGAGGTCTTCTCCTTCGGGAGGTTGCACGCGATCGTCTCCAGAAGCTCCCTCTGCTCGCTCTCCGTCGGCGCGGCGGCGGAGGAAGACGTCGCCGGCGGCGGCTTCCTGGCGGCGCGCGAGATCCCGGGAATGTACTTCTTCGCGTAGTGGATCAGACAGCTCTCGATTATCTCGCCGCTCATATTCAGAGATTTCATGGCGAAAATCAGCCGTTTGAACAACGGCAGCGTCAGAAGTCCCAAATCGTCCAGCCACGATTCCCCAGCCGCCGCCGTCCCTGTACGTGTCACGTTACTGAGCTTCTTCGCTTCGCCGCTGACCGGCCAGCCGAAAAGCGTCGGATCTGAAGCGGCGGCTTTGCTGGAGACGGCGTCGATGCACCGGTGGACGATCCCCAAATCCTCCGCCATGGGCATTAGACCCTGGCAGGAAGCGAGAGCTTTCAGTGAGTATTTGATGTTTTTGAGCACGGATTCCGAAAAAAACCTCTCGGTTTTCGAGATGAGGTTGTCCTCCGAGTACTCCTCCGTCATTTCCAGATACTCTCCGGCGCAGCGGAGGGCCGCTGCAGTGGAGGCGGACATGTCGATTTTCACGCCGTAGCAGAATTTCGCGGCCGTCTCGAAGGCTTCGCAACCGCCCGGGAAATCGGGGAGCGTGATCTGACACTTCTCCTCGTCGTCCTCTTCCTGGATTTCAGCTCGAACGTCGCTGTCGAGCTGGTGGCCTGCTCCAGAGGGCTTTCGGATTGTAGCTTGTGTGAGGCCTTTCTTCNCTTCGATTATGATGTCACTAGGCAGCCCAGTGGTGCAAAACCTGAAAAAGCAATGAAAAGAAAGCATTATCAAACAAGAGAAAGAAAAACAAAAAGATTTTAATGATGGGAGGGTTTGAGTAATGAATCTCACCATGCTTGTCCTTTGGAGGTGGGTTTTTCTGGGGCCATTTTCCTTTTTCTTCTTTTCCTTATGTGGGAACTTGAAGGTGAGCTAGAAAACAAAGGAATTAGGCAAGGGGCTCATGAAGGTGAATGGGAACAAGGGATGAAAAATGTGGACTACAAATGAGTCCAACTTCCTGTAAATGATTATGTCTGTGGAAAATAACAGTCTAAAAGGCAAAAAAAGCAAGTGTTTGAATATCAATTAGGGGAGATTGATTGGGAGAAAACTGGAGAAAAATAACAGAACTGAGAACAGAGGATTTGACAAAATGAGGTTATATGGGCAGAAAAAAGGCAAAAGAATGAATGATTAGATGAGGTTTTGAATTGATTAACTTCTTTCTGCTTCTTTTTGTTTACTTTTTTATTTAATCGGATCAGAATCTTCTCTCTGTGAGTGATTTTCTTAAATGGGGGGACGAGGAAGGAAAAAGGAGAATGGGTTGGTAATTTGGTATGGTTGGGTTCCAGCGAAAAGAAGGGTGACTTTGAATTTTGGGTCTTTAATTCTTTTCTTTATAGTTAAAAGGTGGGCAAATAATAATAAATGAACAATTTTTATTTGTTTTTTTTGGGAGGTAATTATGAGTCCGGTGATGACGATGATGATTTATTATCTGCCAAGAAAGCCACCCCTGAATTGTGTTTTTTGCCAACTGGGTATTCTTTATTATTTTTATTTTTTTTTTTCAGAAAATGGAAAATGGAAATAGTAATAAGAGTTAAAACACAATAATGTTTGGGAAAAATAGAAAAGAAAAAGAATAAAATAAATTTAGAAAAAATAATGAAGGAATAACAATATTTTGTGCTCAATTTTAATCTAGACAAAAATATTGTCCAAATAGAACTCATATATTCAATTAGAGTTGTTAAACGAAATGAGCTACTCATGTACTCGACTCGACTAGTTTCGTTATGATTCGACTCGTTAAAGTTTAAAGGCTATCGTTCGATCATAATAAAATTAACACCAATTTTGATGGCGCCAATCAATACCTTTAATCAGGTTGTGTCACTTTGGTGAATAAAAATGTGTATTATACTATCAATTATTATAGCTCTTATGTAATTTTCCAATGTATGATATTTTTTTAACAAAAATTAACATATTTATTTATATAAACAAAACTATGTCTAACTATTGAGTAATGATTAGACTAGCCAAATAAAATGTATGCCAATAGGCAATAACTATTGTTATCTTTTAAGGTTGTTTTGGGTTCTTTGAATGGCATTAAATTTATTTTTTCAGCCGTAGAATTTTTATAGTTTCATCTCATGGGACCAATAAAAAAGCATTTGCCTCCATTAAAGTACGGTTATTGAGATTAAAGTCAGTTTGCTTAATTATTGATTCACGCTTTTGAAATAAAATAAGACTGAAAGGAATAAAATTAATTTGATCATGGTGTAGCTTGGACTGCATATAAGTGGAGATTGAAGCTTTGATTGTTCTTGCTCTTGGATACAATCCATCTGAATAAATTGGATTTGAGTGGAATCTAGTGGAGTTTAACTTGAACTTTTTTAATATGTAAAGGTTTAAATCATCTACATGCAATCATCATTATACAACTATATATATATATATATATATTATAACTATGGATCAATATTTTATTATTTTTCTATCATACATGTGCACATGCATAGAGAAATAAAAAATTATATATATTGATGGGTCTACTTTCAGATCTAGAGTAAACCGGTGGATTTGAGCTCAGATCTGCTTGAACCGTCTCTGAATCGTTGCTAGACAGCGAGATACCTGCAAAAACTCAACGCCGGAGGTGTTTCCGGCGTAGAGCCTCCGACGCTCAAGTCAGTATGAGAGAGATGTAGTGAGGCTGCACAGCAGCTATGGGGGAGTGTGGAGAATGAATGAGAGTTAGGGTTTAGGGTTACATCATCTCCTTTATATAGGAGTGAATGCTTACTTGAAGTATCTGAAATGCCCAAGTCGGCGGACCTAAAAGGTATAAAATGCCCCGGTCGGTTCGTCTCCTCTTGCTGCTGAGTCATCACAAGATTCCTTCTTATCCTTTGGAGTATGTAGAGCTTTAAGTATGTTGTAAGTGTGATGAGTCGTCATCACATCTTTGGTCTTCGAGGTATACAGAGTCGACCTCGAGAGCTAGGAGGTCGACTTATGATCATATGAGGATTCGGAGGCTACGCTTGGTTAGTTCTCTCGAGTGGAAGTCGTCTTCAGAGAATCGTTTTAGTGAAGTCGACTATTACGAGTCGACTTAGAATATCTGGATGCTCGGAAGCTACTATCTTGTTGCTCTTCTTATACAAATGTCGACCTCCATTAGTCGACATACTGAGGTCGACTTGTGTGTGTCGACTGGACAGATTCCTGCCCCTTCCTAGTCGCTCTTTGTAGAGTCGACTTATGGAAGTCGACCGCAGCATGTCGACGGGGTCATGTCGATATGCGAGTGGTTTGAGCGGTTCACCTGTCGGGTAAGTAGCCTCTGGACTGGGTTATCCTTATGTGGCTATATTATATATGTATGTGTATAATACTATAATACAAAAAATTTTAAATTAAATAATGGGTGTATCACATTTAATTTTAAGATTTTGACTATTTGTATAATTATTTAACTTACATATAAGTAGTTATATTGATGACATAAAATGTAATGAATAATTTAATTTTTTAAATTTAGAGGACCATGAACAATTAAATTAGTTTAAAAAATATTACGATTATTTTTATTATTGTCATAGCAATTATTTATGTGATTTTATGGAGATATGATTATGCACTAAAACCAATTAACTAATATTATAGAAATAAATCTGAATTAGATGAAATATTATAAAATAAATATGTTAAAGAGATAATTTTGCTATAGATTTTTATATAAGTACGTAACTTTCACATGATATTAATGCAAAATTATAACTAGACAGTATTAGTAATACTTATTACATAATAAAATAATATAAAAATATTATTACACTTATATAATGTAAAAGTGTGACGCTTTTCTTCTTTATTAATTGAAATAAATGAGCGAAAAAATTTATGAATGTATTAATTGAATAGCCGACAATTATATATAGATTAATGACTGATGATAAATGTTATTTTTTCTATTATTATTAAAATTATTAATTCTTCTACTAACTTTAAGTTTTATCATTCAAGCCTCCCATCTAATATCATTATGTCGATTATTATCGATGTTTTGCTTCTAATTTTATTTTTTTCGTAATTGTAATAGACTCAAGCAAAAATTCTATGAAACCATCGAATGGTTTTCATATGGAGCCATCAACCACTTAATATTTTGACACTTGCACAAATACAATTGAATCTAAAATGTGGTGTAACATAATGCATATGGTAAATTTTATTAAAAAAAATTATGTTGACTCGTTTTGGATCTATATATGGTGTCGAAATTAATAGACCCTAGTAAAATTTAGTCTACTTTTCTTTACATGTGACATCTAACAAATTGTTTTATGTAAAAATATTTGAAATTGTTTGTCGAACAAATCCTAACATTGGATATGTAATATATATTGCTAATTGGTTAGATCTTGATCAAATACTATAATCATATAACTTACAATAATTTGATGCTATATGACTATAATGTGCTAGCCAGCAGTTTTGGATATCAGTACACACTAAACCATTATTAGCTTTAGGTTTTAGCAGCGGTAAACATTAATTAATACTGTAACGCTTAAGTAGTTAATCACCATTCAATCATATCAGCACTACTTTATATAATTACTTTACACTTTCTGATAAATTAAATATAACATATGATATTTTTTTTAACTCTAACTATGTTATACGAGCGAAATTAATTAATGTTATAAAACATCATATAAACACAACACATTGCCAAAGAGGATATAGGTAAGCAAGTCGAAATTTATTTGGTTTTAAACGAGCCAAGTTAAACTCGAGCCTTTATTGAAATGAGTCGATGAACAGGCCCAAACTCGCTGGTTAACAGTGGTGACCCGAACTTAAACCTTAAGGAGACAAATTATGTTAAAAGTTCAAGAAATTCTTAGAAAATTATATTTATCAAGCTTAACGTGTCTTTTACGAGTTCGAACTTGACTCGTTTTTCAATTGAGTCAAGCTGAGTCAGAGCTCAATAACGGATCGTTCTATTTGACGGCTCTACTCACATATTCCTTGTGCATCCCATTAATTAAGATCCTCAAACAATTTGTGGGATCTTNNNAACAAAGGAGTAAAGGAACCAATGCATTAAGACTATTGTCATTAATGACAGCATATCTACCCTTTGGTACACTTTGTTGCATGAACATTAACTGTGATATTCATTTTCTGACATTCTGGTAGGTATAATATTATATATCCCACGTTCTTTTCAAATTTTCAAATAAGAAAATCCGCAGCGATCTCGCTATTTGCGGAAAAACCAAGTCAACATCACCGGTTAGTGATATTGTAATTTATTTAAGTAGAATATTAATAATCGAAAATGAAAGAGAAATTAGGGAAAACCCATACTTATGGAGTGTAAGGGTACGATTCTGAAATTTAACTGCGTAAAGTTATGGTGTGTTATCTATAAGTGTCTTTTTGTTGGTCTTGTGTTAAGCTATCTACGTGTTAGACAACTATATTCCTCAATAGATAGGCATATTTTTATACTAAAATATCATACTTTAAAATAAAATATAAGCAAAAATATCATTTTTTATATTATAAATGCATTTTTATGAGAAAATCAAAACATGAGACATTATAAGAGTAACGTTTATGAATTATTTTTTATCTGGAGTATCACTGTCAACCAACATCTGCACAATTCAAACGTCAATTGTATACACTTGATTGATAACGGTATCATTTTCTTAAGATTTGTTTTTGAAGAAAAATGCATTCAGCATTTAGCTGGGATCTCATTTATTATTTTACTGTATAAGGAGCAAATCATGAGAAAGATACCAAAAACATAAATCAATTGGTATTAGACTACTCGCAATGTTTTGGTCTCTTAAAAAAATATTATATGCCATGTATAAAATAGATTTAATCTATTAAAATGTATTTTTCAATGCAATTAAAAGTGGAGGTGATCTTATTCACAA